TCAACACTAGGGAAAGTAAGCAAAACAGGTAAAGGAAGTCATTTTAAATCGCAAACCTATATGTAATAACTTAAAAATGTTCAATCTTAAATTAAAAACTAAAGAAAACCTCCTCTATTATAAACTCAAGCAACCATCAGTTTGTAAATTTCATAAGGAAACCAATCTGCTTCCAGTGGTAGACAATGGCAGGCTGACACTCTCCAAAGTGCAGGAAGACACTGCAGCTGAGATCATTGACTAGGAGAAGGATTCTGGCCAGCAATGTCCCAAGATCAAAGGGAAATCATGAAATTAATCATGCAACCTTTAAAGGGCAATTTCATCTAATTAAACCGCAAAAACAGAAAAACTAAACTACCAGAAGTCTGTGCTCCTAACTGTGACAGAGACAAAGATAAAATTACTTCAGCAAAGTTAAACTTCCTTTTGAGAATACAAAAGAAATAAACAATTTTGATAATGGTATATTTGAACCTTTACAAATGGACAACTTTGGTACTGTTCAGTGGTCATCACTGCCGCCTGTGATCTCATGATGGTTACTGTTTCTGTTAGGCAGTGGAGTTATCCTTTTTTTTTCTTAGTTGGGATACATCTGAAATTGTAATAATCCACTTTGACGTGATTTCAAGGTATGGAAACAAGATATTCTTCCTTTCATGGGAAATCCTATATCCTAGTGCCCAGGGACCTATATTTTCCCTCCACTATTGTTTTGAGTACTGCTGTTGCACTGAGTGAAGAATAGTGATCAAATGGCATTTGTTAGCCACACATGTAGGATTTTTTTAAATCATTTGTCAAGCAAATAAAACACACAAGAGTGAATGATAGTTGTGTGTCATTTTTTTCCTCTGAAATTGGAGAATTTTCAATACTATAAGATTGTCTGTGGTTACTACATTCACACATCAGGAGATGAAAACAACACTGTGGGCCCATCCATAAATTTACTTCCTGCTTACAATACAATTAAGTCATTTTAATCAATGCAAATCATGTGTGTTTTTCCTTTTGATACTTTAAAAAACTGCCTGAAAATGGAAAAAACCGAACAATCATGCCTTTAGTTAAACTACTCCAAGCAATAACTGCAAGTCCCTTGGTAAAATAAACTTTCACATACTTCAAAAAATGATGTGTCCCCAATCTCTCAGTTTTATTTTTCTACTTCTTTTCTCCAAACTTAAAGGAATCCTTAATGTAGGATAAAATTGCGACCTTTCAGCTGGTGCTTCCCTCCCCAGCTTTCTCTTTCCCACCCATATTTTCCAGTACTTCTGAGCTGTGTGAAATAGAACTAGCCATGCTTTTGGACTTCATCTTAGAAACTTGCTCTGATTGGCAGATCACAAGAAAGAAACACATCCCATGAGTCTCTATGTGAGATTGTTACTAACTGACTGAGGATTCACTTTCATGTCTTAAATCTTTGAAACCCAGGTGTGTTGTAGATTAGCACAACTTACAAGCAGTGTGTGGAGATTTATTATGATAATTGTTGCTTTTATTTTTTATTTCCCTGAACTCAAAGATAATTAATGCCAGTGTGTGTCCTGGTATCTGACTCCTTTAATTGGCCCTATGGTGCCTTGGGTGTTTGAAAATCCACTCACTTAAGTTTTTTTTTTTTCTTCCTTTTGACTTGTTTTCCTGGAGCTGTTCATTAGTGTTTAAAATATTTGATTACATTTAATTGTGATGTCTTCAGTTCAATGCACCTGATACAATCTACATAGGGAGAATGGGAACTGAAGTTATTCAGATTTTTAAAAAAATGAGTTGAGGGAATTAAATGTAAAAAAAAAAAATTTCTTCCAATAAGAGGTAATTGGGATTAAATAGAGGAACAAAATAAATGTATAGTTGTGGGTTTTTTTCCCCTAATATATATGGTAGTACCAAAAATATTTATATAAGAATTTTGTCTTTCAATTATTTTTGAAATCCCTTCTTCAAATGCTTTCATCTTCCTTTGGACATCTGCACTTAGTTTAAACCTAAGTATTAGAAAGTCTGCATGTTGTTGTTCTTTACAGTCTGGCATTTCTGAGCTCCAGTTCTGCTTGGAGATGTTTTGTTTCTTAGTCTTTGTTATATTGTTGTTGTTGCGACAGATTTCTATTATTTTCAGTAAGCAAAATGTACATTTCAGCATCAGGATCCCTTGTTTGATGCCAGAGGGAATTAGCTGCTTGACAAAATGTACCTGGGTCTGGAAAAGTTATTCCAGTTGCCCCTGGCATTATTTAACAAATTGGATTAAAAGGAGCTAAGAAAATGTGGTAAATCTACATTTTGCATTTTCACAGGAGAACTCTACATCAGACTTTGCCCCTTAGCATTAAATAATTCTGTTTCTAAAGTTTTTATTTATATCTAAAAAGCAGCAGTGCTTTTCTACCAGTGCTTTATATAAAGAGTAATGAAAGTGGTTTAAAACACCCATATAATGTTAGAATTTCTAAATAAAACTTTATTTGACTCTTGAGGATGTTAAAAAATATAAAAGCACCATATCTCCTGTCATTAAAATATTGTGTTCCATGCAGACACATTTTCATGAATATCCAACAGCACCTTTTCCAGATTATTGCCATTGTTCCAAAGTTGTCAGGATCAAGGAACAGGAATAGCAGAGATTTCAGGAATATTCTTTATTGCTATTGGATATTATAATAGAATCTTGAAAGTCAAAATTCAAGACAGGGTTATTTGGAATTTCTTTTATATGCTTTATTCCTTCCCTGGGCTGAATAACCTTACCTGAAACTCCTCCCTTAACAGTTCAGTCATCCCTTTCCTACTCCCAGAACCAGATCTGCATTTCATCACAGTTATATCCAAACAACAATAATTACTGTCACTTTCCTTTCAGGGGATTGATCTACATCTATAAACCTTTTTCAGGCATTCAGGAATTTAACACATGAACATTTTTGATAAGCTGTCCACCCAACATCACTCAGAAGACATCAGTGCTGGAGAGATTTACAATATCATCATGATTCATGGTGGCCTTAGGTACACTAAGACTCTGATGATGATTATACGTGTTCAACTGTCTCAGACATTTGTGCTAAATGCGCAAATGCCTGTAGTGGCCATGCCATTCAAGAGATGCAAAGAGGGGACTGTGGGATTATCCAGATCTTTTATGAAGTGAAAGCTTCAGGTATCATGTTTAGTCCTGGGCTCAGATCTATGCCCATAGATATTCATGGCTCTATTGACTCATTTGCAGAGCTATTAAAATTGTACAGCATTTCCATTGCTCTCTGCAATATAAAATTTGACAGGCTTGTGCCACGTGTTTTGTATTTTAAAAAGCTGAAAATTATATCACTCCTGAAAAAAGTATACTTGAAAATACTATAATTATAAATACTATTATTCCATACTATTCAGAAAGCTGATTAGAAAACCGAGTGTAAAATGTTTTTGTAGACCACAGTCCAATGGTCTTCATCAAAGGAAGCTGCCATTCATAGGAATTTGTGTGTAGAGATAAAAAAGTTTTTGACTGTCTTGTTTTTATCCTGTAGCTAAAAAATCGATTTGAGGACCAAGCTTGGAAGAGAGAATCCAAACTTTGAAAATCCTCCTGTTTCCAACTATTTTTTGAAGTTGAAGTTCCAACACTGAAACAAGGGAAAAGAAGATTCCAGTAAGAACCACAATGGGCCAATAGGCAATCCTTCCCACTTCATTTTACGGTAGCTTATGAGAATTTATAAATTTATTAAAAAGTCTTATATATGTGAATGGTAGAAAAAAATGTTAATTATGTACTTCACAACTAATTAGTATTCCATAGTGGCCTTAAGGTGGGATTCCTATATGACAGTTAAGAACAGATATTATTTTTTTAAAAAAAGTGTCAGAACTATTGCAAGTTTTATACAATTGAAGATGACAAAAGCTGAAACTTAAACACTAAATGATTCCATACATATTTGTGTCTTTTTCACTGCTCCTAATAATAATACCATACACCTATGGATCTTGAATTACTGTGTGAAAAATTTGGCATTTAAAAATTAAAGATCCAAAAATCAGTAAGTCCAAAGTCTCCCATTTCCTTTGTTTCCATCGAAAGACATCTAGACAGTTTCCTTAGTGACAAAATGGTACAAATGTTTGAAAATGGGATAGACTAGCTAAAATGAACTCTCCCACAGGCCAGATAAATATGATGATCCCTGTTCCCCTCTCTTCCTATCATGCACTTGGGAATGTTCTTGTCTTCACTGTGGGAGTAATATTGAAACTCTATGAAATACCTTGACAAACTGGGGAGGCAGCTGAGTGATAAATTGGTAACAGTGACAACTTAAGCGGATTAAAGTGGATTAAATTCGACTTCAATTAGATCAAATGTATGTTAGAAACTATTTACAGACTGAGGAAGGTAAAAGACATAGTAATGTAAGTAAGCTCTACCAAAGTTCCCACACATTCCTTCTGTCTTATCACAAACATTGGACAAATACAGGTGGTCCTCAACTTACAACAGTTTGTTTAGTGACTGTTCAAAGTTACAACGGCACTAAAAAGTGTCTTATGACCACTAAAAAGTGTCTTATGTTGCAGCATCCCCATAGTCATGTCATCAAAATTCAAACGCTAGGAAAATGACTCATATTTGTGATGGGTGAAGTGTCATGGGGTCTTGTGATCATCTTTTGTGATCTTCTGACAAGCAAAGTCAATGGGAAAGCCAAATTCACTTAACAACCATGTTCCTAACTTAACAATTGCAGTGATTCATGTAACAACTGTGGCAATAAAGATCTAAAATGGGGCAAAACTCATTTAACAAATGTTTTATTTAGTAACAGAAATTCTGGGCTCAATTTTAGATATAAGTTGAGGACTACCTGTATTCTATTCTATCCCCAAATGGTCAAAATCTGTATTCAGTGCTGTTGTCTGCACACAAAGTACTACTGTCATGGCTCTGACAGACAGAGACAAATAAAGCAGAACTCTGAGGCTTGGAAATTCCTCAAAGAATGTGTTTATTAGTTACAAAGTATCGGCACAATTAAAAGTGAAACAAAGTCTGAAATTCCCACTAAAAATTTTCCAGTTACAAAGTATAATGTCCCACCCACAAAACTATGCCATCACTACATTCCCCAATATATTCATTTGCTGGGATTTCTTATACAATGCCTAGCCCCTGATTGTGGGAGCAGTAGATGACCTTGGTTCCCATGGGACAGAAGATTATTTTGACTAGTGAAGCACATGAGCAAGCCTCCTCCTTCTGTTCTATGTGATAATCTAGAATGAAGAGAAAGATGGCTGCAGCCAAGTTCATTGTAGAATTGACAACTACTTTGTGTGACAAGAAGTTAGGTGATAAGCATTTAACATGCCTGGAAGTTATTTTTCTTATTGGCTGCAATAATAGGTTTACAAGTGAGGTGTTACCTTAATCGAAACAGAAACAAGCTGATATCCTGGCCTATGTTAGAAAACTATGCTGCAGTCATCATGATTAATTTTAAAAAGGGATAAGGGAGCAAGGCAACTAATAAAAAATAAATAAAGATTTTTTCTGCTATAGGTTTATTAACAGGTGAATTAAGGTAAATTGCATAAATAAGCTAACTTCTACTTGTGAATCTCAGAGATTGAAAAGGAGAGAATGAGAGAGACAGGCAGCAGTCACACATCTTGTAGTTGATGGCATGTGGTGAATAATTAATCCTGTCTTCTTTGTGTCTGATGAGTTCACTAATTCAGTGCCACATGTCTACAATTGTTGGGATCACTATTCAGTCACCAGAGGAAGCCCAACAGGTACTTGAGAGCTGTCTTCTAAAATTCTGAGCTGTCTTCTAAAACTCCAAATGAAAAATGCAGAAGGGAGAAAATAACTTGAAATCTTCCCACATGTCGTAGAGCACCACTCAGTAGCCACTTTACCGATGACTGAGTTCTCTATAATGAGTCACTTATCCAACAAAGAGGCAGCTTCTGGGTAAGAGCCAAAATGCAAACTGTTCCTATGTAATGTGACAATATGAGAAATCTTTATATTAAGATAAAGCATGTGCAAAATGTAACAAAGATACAGAAATATATTGGTTCCAGTGAAGGCAGAAATAAATTCTATCAGCTAGTAATATTGCACAAATAGATATTTCATAAATATCTTCCAGAGATATATCATGAATGATTCCCATCTAAACACCATAGGAACTGAAAAGAACAGTGAAGAGCTGGGTAAAAAGAACTGATTTGCAACTAATATGTGTATTACATTCAACTAGAAATTGCTGAACAGATTCAGAGAAAATGTTTTAAAGGTTATGTTTCCTTTCTTTCTGCCTGTGAGTCATTCTTCCATGATAATCTCAAGCTATGTGTCATTTACAAAGACTATACAAATTAAAAGCTAGATAAAGGATTCAGAAACAATAAAAAAGTAGTAATAATTCAGAGATATTTGGCTGGTTTTGCCCTGCATGATTTTAGACATCAACTCAGAAGTACAATCAAACTTAGTCCCAAGTAATCTGGTCACAAAGATTGATGTCTTAATGACAAAACTTTCTAACATAGCCCAATAGATTTCCTTTATATGGAAATATATGACAATATAGAATTGAAGTTCCATAAGAAACTTCAGCATTTTTGTCTGTTTGCTTGTTTGTTTGTTTTTACAGAAATTATGTTAAGTATGTTTCAAGTGGGTATATACCTTTTAAAATACATCACAGTATTAAGGCTGCCTTTATTCATTCTTTCCCAATTTCCCACTTGGGAGCCTCTCATAGGCTTTTCTTGCATGCCTTCTTAAGTTATACAGGATCAGACTAAAAACAAGGAATATCTGCCTAAATATTTAGCCTGCAGAATGTATGTTCTGTTGCATCATAAAGTGTAAAGTTAAGAGGAAAAAATACCCAGAATTGCTCTCCAAGTAGGCTATTGTGGCTAGATTTATTCAAGGTTTTTCTTTAACTGAAAGTAGTTTCCAAGTCATCTGAGCAGGAAATAAACAGCCCAGAATTAACCATTCCTTTGGGGAAAAAAGGGATGAACACATTTTTACAAGGCCAAGTTAAGTCTTGAATATCATTTAACTAAAACAATATCATATTTAAGCTATAATTTAGAGCTGACCATAAATTGCATAGGCTTCCTTTCATACTGGATATCTGATATGTTGCTGTGGAGATAGTTATGAAGGGAACATAAAATGCAGTATATTGCAGAAAATATGAAGGAATTATAAAGGCACTTATAAAAAATGTTTTCGTAGGTTCAGACACAAATAAACTTTTTATTTTACAAGATGGTTTTTATCTGGACTAAAGTGGTTATGTCCTGCTTTACAGAAGAATGTTTTGTTTGAAAGCATCCTGTTTGTAGTGCAAGCAACCATTTTATAACTGCGGAAATCACACTGCTTAAAATGGCCTGGGAGGGCAATAGGGGACAAAGTGGTGGCACAATAATGTCATTGAAAGAGTGAGCATGACATTTTGATGTTTTTTCTTTGATGAAAGGCATTTTTAAAAAAACAAAATAGTTGCATTAAATGTATTGGAAAATAATGCATTTTTTTCTTAGTTGTAAACACACACAAACACATGCACACACACAAACTTCTTTTCTTTTCTTTTCTTTTCTTCCACCAAACTTTAACAGCACAATTCAGGGTACTTCCAAGGACTGGGAAAAATTAGCTAAAGCAACATGTCCATATTATTATATATAAAACAATGTGAAATCACAGCTGCCAATTTTTAGTTGAATTTCCTATGCACTGAGTTCTTCCCAAGAACCTAGGATGTCATAATGTATTGGTATTGTGTGTGTGTGTGTGTGTGTGTGTGTGTGTGTGTGTGTGTGTGGCCCAAGGAGTGTAACCTTTTTTAAGTGACAGGTGAAAAATATAGTCATATTATTTAATGTTATGTTCATATATATAAATTAGAACATCCAATATAGGCAGTGAAAATTTGTTGAATCAATTCAAATTTCTGGAATTATTTTAGAAACTTGAAAATATACATTGGATCAATTTGATATGATAGCTTGATTCAGTTCTAGCAATCAGTTTGATTTGCTTCCATACTTTACATTGTTGAGACATAATCCAATCTAAATGATGCCACAAAGATTTACATTACCAACCTATATTTCCCTTTGCCCATCTCAGCCATTTTTTTGTTATGATGCATTTGATAATTTTGTGCAGGACATTAACAAGCTATCATACCACCACTTGAGTATGCCTTGAGTATAGCCTTCCTTATTCACCATTTTGGGGAAATGTTCTCTGTAGTTACTTGTGTTCTGAGAAAATCCAGGGAAGAAGGTTCTGGGAGAATTTAAGCTTCTTATTAAAAAGACAGTAGAAACTACAGAAGCTTTTTTCTCTGTGTTAAACTAAACATATCTTAGAGGAGCTGTACTTTTTGAAATGGATTTCTTGTAGTGCTAAGTCTGAAGGTTTAACTGTGCACTGAGTCTCAGTTTAATAGTCAGAGAGGGATAGAAAGATATAAGGAATGTACCAGAGGAATCTTACATTGATCTAAAAATTTTGGTTGTGGAAAGGTATAACTTTTTAAAACGACTAGAGATTCTTTGAATGTGAATTGGGAAGTAACAACTTCTCTTCAAAAGAATTCCATGGCATAAAAGCTTTTCTCTTCATCAGATATAACAACAGGCTACCTTACAAACTTTGTTAAAATATCCATAAGAAAGAACATCTAAAATGCCCTTTATATCTGCACATAAAAAATGTACCAGGGTTAGTTAAGATGAAGGAGTGTCTGATTGAAAACTGAAATAAGATGGACCTATGTGCAAATCTGAGGGTGTACTGATAGTATTTTATTTAGAAACTATACATTTCTGGGATGTTCTGTATTTATGAACTACAAACTCCTCCTCGATAAAATGCTACTATACTATGCTTCAAATTTAAGAATGCATTGAATGTGTCCCCTTCTATCAGCCCTTTAAGGTAGGTCAGGAAATAGATTGCATTATCAGAAAAATAAAACCATGACATTTGCCAAAAGACCCAGGAACCATTATGTGGATGATAAATGAACAAGGTTTGAACAAGTCTCCTGTCCATTACCTCCATTGTTATTTATTTTAACCTTGGAAGTTCTAAATAAAAATATTAGACAAGATACAGAAATTAAAGGACTAGAACTAAAAGGTGAAACATACAAATTGCAAGCATTTGTAGATGATTTGGTATTTATTTTAGAAGAACCCTTGGAGATGATTGCTAAACTACTGGGAAAGATAGAACAGTATGGAGACTGTTATAGCAGTATAGCAGGACTGAAAATAAACAGATAAAAAATTAAAGTAATAGTTAAAAATATTTCAGATAAACAAAAAAATGTCAGAAAAAATAGAACTACAAATAGTTAAAAAGGTTAAATACCTGGGAATATACTTAACAGAAAGATGTTCAACGATAAAGGAAGATAATTATACAAAATTATTGAATCAAATAAGAATGGATCTGGGAAAATGGAAAAACTTGTCATTAGGAAGAATTGCTACAGTGAAAATGAATATATTACCGAAAATTTTATTTCTATTCCAAACAATACCTATAATACTTGAGAAAAAATTCTTTGAAGATTTAATTTTGAAATTTATTTGGCAAGGAAAGAAATCTAGAATTAAGATGAAAATGTTACAAAATGGACGTTTTGGTTACCAGAGTGGGTTTTATCTTATCAAGCATCTGTATTAACATGGGTAAAAGAATTAATAATTCTTAGAAACAAAAGGTTGTTATATTTGGAGGGGCATGATTTACAGTTGGAGTGGCACGCTTTCTTATGGTATGGGAAAAATAAAATTCATAAGTATTTTCAAAATCACTATATAAGAAATGCATTATTAACAACATGGGAAAAATAAATTGTAAAATATATCTGAAAATTCCAGGGTGGCTTTCAACAATGGAAGCATTTGTACACCCAAATTTAGTTGATTTTGAAAAAATCCAGACATATAGAGATATTCTGAAAGGAATTTAAAATCTAAACAAGAAATGGAAAATCAGGGTATCAATTTATCACGGTGGGCACACTTACAACTGCAAGTTAGCTATGATAAAGATGTTAAACTATATGGATTTTACAAGGAGCAAACTTTGTTTGATAAGATATTATTAACTTCTGATGAGAAATTAATTAAGACAATTTACAATTTTCTATTAACTTTGAAATTGGAAAGCGAACAAGCTAAAGAAACAATAAGATGGGCAAAATTTTTTGGATACAATATAGCATTAGAAAAATGGCAAAATTTGTGGGAAAGAAATTATAAATTGACAATGTCAACTTCTTATAAAGAAAATGTATATAAAATGTTTTATAGTCTTGCACTAGCAAGACTAGCAAAAATGTTTAAAAACATGTTAGATAGATGGTTTTTTTCCCCTTATGGGGTTACTGGGTCTTTTGATTTACTTCGAAGATTTTGGAGAACTTTGGTTGGTTTGGGTGCTAAACTGATGCCACATGGTTGTAATAGTCTCTGTTGGTTGTTTTTGAGATGCTTTTGATGTATAGCAGTATTATCCATTTTACAGCTTATGTTGGGTTGAATGATATAGATCAGGGCTTTTCAACCAGTGGTATGGGTACCAGCTGTGGTACATTGGCACCTGGCAGGTGGTACACGACAATCCTAAAAAAGTGGTAGTGGGGGAGGGGAATGAGCTGAACTGGTGGCAGCACTGCAGAAGCATGAGCGAGAGATGGCTGGAGCTACAGGGCTATCAGGGCTCAGCGGAAGCGCCAGGATTAGCACTTCTTTGGGGCTGTCAGGGCTCAGTGGAAGCGCCAGGATCAGTGCCAGGCTCCAGCTGTTCCCAGAAGAAGCGCCGATCAGCTGGAATGTTACAGCATCTCCAGGGTCTTGTGATTTACATTCAGATGCTTGGCAACTGATTCATATTTATGACAATCACAGTGTCCCAGGGTGATGTGAAGTGACCAAAACCTGC